TTTTTTTTTCGGCAGCAAAATATACGTATCGCATTGTTGCCGCTATTCAATTACGCGCGCGCGTGGACCGATTCGATCCGTAGATTCTGACCGTACTTTTTCTTTTTTACTTGATTTAATAGATATATAATTCTACATATTTTATTAAATATAAAATCAATTGAAAATATATAATAACTTATTAACAAAATATATTACAGCTTATTAATAAAAATATATTATAGTTTATTATATACAAAAAAAGATGTGAAACTTTTAAATTAAATTGCGCCAATTGCAAAAAGAATATGTATATTGCTTTGAAAGATAATTGTTGTGCAACTACTTTAACAAAATAAAACCCAAGTGATATCTTTGTATTCCTATTCAAGGGTCTTCCTATTCCAATTCAAGTGGTAATAGCTTCTTAATTCTTTTTAACAAATTTTTAATATTACAAAGAATCATTTTACAAAGAATTAAAGAAGTAACAGTACAAAATAAAAATATTTAATTAAAACAAAATAAATAAATTTTTTATGTACAAAAACTTGGCGCTGCTTTTTTACTTCTGTCGCATTCTTCTCAAAATTATGTCTATTGTTTTTTTAATCAATCAAAAATCTTAGTACTAATGTTTAAATTTTAATGTTTAAGTTTCAAAGTCTAGCAGCGCCAAGTTTTTTTACAAGAAAAATTTATTTATTGTTAGGTAAAATAGAATAGTTAGGTAAAAGTGAATTACGTTCATATAGCCACATGATGTTTACACAGCAAAACTATTAAAAAACTAATTTTTTTATTTAAAAGAATCGCTAATTTACACGCAAACTTCTCTCGAATTTCCCCTATACTTTACAAAATAAAGGAACTGTAAGGTATGATGTCTCTGAAATACTTGTACTTTACTGATGACATGGCATGTACATCTTACAATTACGATAGAAATAAGAATGTATGCAAATAATTTACACATTATATTTGCATGTTCTTATGATTTTATTATATATATATATATATATATATATATATATATATATAATATTATATAACAGGCTGTAATAAATTTATATAAAAGTAATTCCAACAAATTTTAAATAAAAGTACAATTTTAAAAAATTGTGCAACAAATAAATAACGGAATTCGCAGTTTTGCAGCATGAAAGACTACTCCTTGCATTTAACACTCATGTAACATTATTTATTATTATTAAATTCATTATTACTTAAATATCTTTAATGTGTGTGGAGAACAAAATCTTAAACATATTTAAGTATCTTTAATAAATCAAATAAAATATTATACAGGATAGGACAGATTGGGTAACGTAAAAAAATAACGTAAGTCCTGAATTTGCTAATAATGACATGGTTTTTTCAAAAAGACAATATCCCCAAAATTATATATTGGAACAAATAACATTGTTAATAATTAATAATATAATTAATAATAAATGATTTATAAAATTTATGGCAAATTAAATGCTAAAATTCTTTTTGTTTCACACACAAGCACTAATTTCTTATATACATAACAGTACAAAATTTGATTAATCACATGTGTATACATTAGGAAAAGAAAGATAAAGAAAGAGTTACATGTCCGCAAATTGTACATATAATTGTATTATAAATTACAACTGCGCACTTAGAGCAGTTACAAACGCTATAAGCAAATGTCTCTAACGCTTACACACACTACCGCACAATACGTATATGATGCACAAATTGAAATCAATATAATTTCGGTATAATAATAATAATAAAAATTAGGAATTTGCACATTGCTTTCTCATCATTTTTAAGTCTGCAAATTAGAAATTGTACATTGCTTATTATTGTGCTCACAAAACTCCTCTATGAGGAAGCGATAATAATAATAGTAATAATAATAATAATACTTATAATTGGTTTAATTTTTTATGTAAAACCTACATATATACGCGCGCGCGAATCGACTTATATCTGCATCATACACGCGAATGAGAATCTTAGCAGCTTAAATATAGCTGGGCCCCTTCTCCACGTCAAGGTGATTCTCATGAAAGAGAAAAAAGGGGGGTGGCAAAAGTCCGGGAATCAAATCCGTATTTTCTCTTCAACGTGGAGAGAAATAGAGGAAAGAAGAACGATGCAAGCAGTTAAGCAAAAAAATGGCACACATTTTGCCTTGTGTAAGTATACGTTTGGTATAATTTTAACGTAGAACGCATATAAAAAAAATCCTTACAACCAAAAAATTGTAATTATTGTTGGTGCTAATGTCACAAAGATCGCAATCACAATTGAAATTATTGCATAAATCTAAGACTAGCAGATCTCATCACAGGAAAATGTACACAGTACATTTCCTTGAAGTAACTGATAATATCAATTGCTTTTTATGTTCTTTTTTTCCAATATTTATGTATTAGAACATCTTATAATTTTATAAGTAATTGATCATAATTACACTATTATTTACATTACTGTATTTGTATGTATTCGCCTGTCCTGTAATTTATATATTGCTTTTTATGTTCTTTTTTTCTTCTAATATTTATGTATTAGAATATCTTATAATTTTATGAGTAATTTATCAAAATTACACTATTATTTATATTGCTGTATTTGTATGTATTCGCCTGTCCTGTAATATATATATATATATATATATATATATATACTTAATATATATTCTATGTATATATATATCTTCTGTATATATATATATATATACTTAATATATATTCTATTTGCAGTTCGTACATATTTGCTTATTCTGAGTATTTGGTTTACTTTTTTCAGACAATTACAAAAAACACAAGCAAAAAAAAGGCAGGCAAAGGCGACGTCCGAACAAATAGATTATATGGTCGATTATTTCACACAACATCCGCATGTTGCTACGGGAAAATTTAAAAGTCTCCATGGACATGATGATTTAAGAGGATCTTGGGAACAATTAGTAGCGGATCTGAACCAAATGGCAAAAGGTGGAAAAACCAAAGATGTAAAGTCGTGGAAATCGGTGAGTAAAGTAAATTTTTTACTTAAAAAATTGTGCGTGAAGTACTACTGTAGTACTTTAGGAGTAATTGTCTAGAGATATTTCTTTTAGACGTGGCGAGACAACAAAACCGCGGTCTCTCAAAAAATTGCAAAAATTCGAGCCAATCGAGCTGCAACAGGAAATGTTGGTGGACCACCCTTGAAATTAACGGAGCGAGAAATAAAGATTTTAGGAATAATGGGATTCGATTACGTCGAAGGAGTTCAATGTCCTGATGCTTTCCCGGAGGAACAGGCAAGTATAATTGATTATATACAACAATAATAACAATCTTAACAATGTAAAAAATAATGAAAATCAATGTACTAGTTAGTGTTGTTTCATTCAGTTAGAAAAAATGCGTTGACGTTTTAACTGTAGTAAAAAAGTAAACAAATTTTTTTCGATTGTGTAAGATAATTGAAAATAATATTGAGTAGTAAATAAAACATTGTTTGACTCTCGAATATTGATTTTAGCCAGAAGCAATGGAATTACTTGCTGAGGGACAGGAAGGAATTTTAGACGATGTTCCTGTCGTAATAACAACACGAAACATTAATGACAATACTGGTTAGTAGTTACATTTTACTTAACATACATACTGCGCATGAGTCATCGTCATATGAAGATGTGTTCATCAGTATTGCAGAAATAACTAATTGCAGCATTGGTTACACTGTTTTGTTCTAGATTTGGAATTAATAATAAATCCCGGGATAACAGAAGGTGGCATTAATGTTTATGAGGCATCTTCACAGGTAGTTAATTTAGAGATAAGAGAGTCGCAGGACAGAGAACTACCGACGGCAGAATCACAAGTAGGGGAATCACAAGCGGGAGAAATGCAGGCACTCGAATCCCAGGCAAGAGAATCACAAGCAACACTTTCGCGAACTTGTAGCAGAACACAGAGATCTACTTACGTCCCACGGGGGGG